AAATTCAAAATGGCGAATCCAAAATGGCCGACATATATATTACAAAATAATTAGATTCTCATGAATCTTGATATGTATGCATTATTTGGGCTGCAAATTACGAATCTGATATAAAAATTGCAAAATTCAAAGTACCGAATCCAATATGGCGGACATATACATTAAAAAATGACTAGATTTTGATGAAACCAGCAACTTGAAATAAAAATCATTAATCCATTTAATGCCCGCCACTTATTTTCAGTTGTACCGTTGCTATCAATTCGAAATTGCGCCCGCTAGGAAATTTCGTCCGTAAACCTCCTAGCGAAAAGTTGTGTAGCTAAATGGATATCCATATATCCGAGTAGGGGAATCTCAGGTCCTAAGAAGGCGAAGGTAACGAAGCGAACAGAATAGAGCGTGCACGTTGCCTGTATGAATGGTTACCAAACGGTTTGCCGCCTTTCCTCCTTCGGTGATTTTCCTCGGGCCATTGACAAGAAAGGACTCGCAAACGATTGTCGGCAAGGCAATCGAGCTTAAACAACGAGGGACCTCGAGACCCCGAGCGTGCATCGAAATTAGTGGGTTTAAAGGGACCATCTAGCGAATGCTCCATCTTTCTTTAAAAGTGGAAATTGAGACGCTATCCTAGACTCTTCTCGACCCAACCTAATTTTCCGCTATTTTTAAAGCCAGCTGCTCGAAGGATACGTATACCGTGTTCGTGTCAATTTACCGTCGTTAAATCAAGAAAAAATATTCCCAATTGTTTCAATATTTCAACGCGAGCCAAGTTTTTCCAGTATAAAACCAAGAATAACAATTTACCCATCTATAATAATACTGCATTAAAAAGAAAAGCTTTCGTACGTGCAAGGGAAAAAATTTGATTTACCAGCCACGTTCCTTTCGGCAACAGCTAAGAAATGGCGGTTTAAGATCCACCCCACAGTTTCCCACAGCCTCGGTGTGAATTATATCGATTTTCTGCGACGCTCGCACCTACAATGTAAACGGGCCATTACCCTTAGTACATCTTCCTTAACCTTCGGCGCATGTAATAATGGCTCGGCGACTGGCACAGTTTCCCTTGGCATGAGGTTTTCGTTCGCCCTGATTAATTGCTACACTCTGCGCTGTAATTGGCACATTTTAATAGAAATAAAAAGTGTCGCGACGACGGTTAAGTTTCCGTCTACGATTGGCAATTCAACGAACGCGTCAACACTTTTCGAGCCGTCGTTGGAACTTGAATTACGGAAAATTCTATTCGAATAAGTAACCTTAAAAGAAACCAGTATACAGGGTGTCCCAGAACTCCTGCGAGAGCCGGAAATGAGGGCCAGTTGACACGATTCCGAACAACAAATTTCCTTCGCAAGAAAGGAAATTTCCTTTCCTTAGGCTTCGTTTTTTGAATTATTATCGAAAAACCACCGATCAATCGCAGCGCAGAAGTGCGCGATACTAGTGCGCTGTGATTGGTCCGTGTTTTTCCTTAATAATTTCAAAACGAACCACCATCCGACACTTTTGCAAAGAGAAATTGTGCTTCGAAATCGTCTCAGCTGTCCTCCGTTTCCGGCTCTGGGAGTTCTGGGACACCCTGTACATCTTTATAGACTACGACCGAAGATAGTCGCATCGAAAATGAAATTCGGGCAGATGTAATTCTCGAGATACAGGCGCAAATGTCGTCGCAATACTTGCGCGGGAATTAAACGATGCGAAACAATCAACGCGTGATGCATCGCAGTCGAGAGCAACAAGATTTTCCGCCTCTTACCACGAGTATAGTAAGAGAATGATCGATCGGCTCTCCGAGGCGATACGTTATAGAAAATTAACAATTGCGTAACACTTTATACGCGTACAGGCAACGTCGCCATTAATCAAACTCGCGCTCTATATAAAAATCACGTATCCTCGAGAAATATGCGTCAGTTGTATCCTTTCGCATCTGGACGTCCGCTCGCCTCGGAACAAATGATTCCGAATAAATACAATTTGGTTGCTCGTGTTTGTCGAGTACATTTTCATTTCGATTCATCACTTGTCGTACGTAAACCTAATATTTCGATTAACGTGGAATTTTTAGTTTCAGAAGCAACGGCGAGCAACGGTCCGCGGAAACTCGGGTGGATGTTTGAAAGCGTGGCCGTTGCGAGAACTCTCGACTACGTAGGATAAAGCAAAGGTTCCCGTGTTGAAATTAGAAATTATGAAAAGAACCAGCGCGGTTGGGAAATTGTACGAAACCAACTCGGCAATCGAAGCGTCGAAAGAGAATACACTCTGGTCTAGAGACGCAGCGAGGCAAGAAAAGATTATTTTTTAGTAAATCTTGGTTAGTTCAACGGTCAAAGAACTCGGTTCGAATGCATTCTTTTCAACCAATTTCCGAATTTTATTTGTCAAGGGGTGAAATTATCACCGCGTCCCTGCAACCTTTCTCAGTCTTTCGTTGATAACTCGGAAACTACCGCTCGTAGCGAAAAAGTGTCTCTATTCGAAATTAATGTTCATGAAATTGTCTACAGAAAAGGTTCTGTTCATCTTTTCGCTCGGAGCAACGGTTCGCGAGATTCAGGTGGGGTGAAACAGTGCCAGACGTTTTCAGTTATCAAGCAACGGACTCTATCGTCGAATAGGTATTTTCTCGAAGCTCGTGACGTTAATTTTTAACGTTTACCACGGTGGCTGACTCGTGAACGATAGAAAGTAATCGGAATCGCTGTGGCCATTCGTAAGCGCAACTCCCGAACGGAAAAATATCTTGTTCCGACGCTAAGCGTAATACCCGTCGGTCGTTAATCAAGAAGTTTCGAGTATCGCAAAGACTCCGCCGACAGTTGGTACGGATATTCGAATAAGAGCGATATACATGCAGATTTCTCTTTCGCAGTCACCATAGGTGGCTTCATTGTCTATGCGGTAACTTGCCGCCGGGGAAAGTTTAATTCGATGAAACTTTACCTCTCAAGAACGGGCTTCCACGGATCGCGTAAGTTATCTCTGCGAGTTCAGGAAGGAATTAAATTCGCGATTATAAGCGTTCCTCTAAACGAACATTTCGTTGAACTCGCCAACTCGATAAGATCGTTTCAATTTCATTCGATCGCTAATTCCATACGGGACGCGGAAAAGTTTCGTTGATTTCGCCGGCGGATCTCGGGCTTCGAATAAGCTTGTTATTACCCGAAATAAAGTAAATAAATCTTGTTATTAGACCGAACGTGGTCGCATCGTCGCGCGATTGCACACAATTGCTGCATCGCATTCATACGATCGTTGTTTAACGCGTTCACTGCCGGATTGATACTTCAGAAAATGTCTACTTCGATTGAGTTTTGCTTCCAGGCTATTGGAAGCTACTTAATCGAACATTTATCCCGGCATCTATCTTCGCAGCTTCGTCGAAGTGTAGGAATTTCGTTCGAATTTATTTTCGTTGGTACTTGACGTCCGGGATTAATTTTGTCTGTTCTTCGGCGTAAAGCACGGTCGCGACGTGTTAAATAGTCGACGAGACCGTTGAAATTACCTGGAGGATGATATTCCAGGGACAGGTAGAGTTTTTACCCGGGAAAATTGATCCCGGGAAGATGCGCCGGATTTATTACACGGCCGACGGTATATACGATACTCGGATATTACCTGCCTTTT